GCTTAACGACTGAGCCACCCAGGCGCCCCTATTCGTGTCCATTTAAAACGCTGTGTTTATAACCATATGCGTGCTCTTTTACTAGTGTGCATTCTATAATTTTTTTTCCTTTTTTTAAAGATTTTATTTATTTGAGAGAGAGAGAATGAGAGACAGAGAGCATGAGAGGGAGGAGGGTCAGAGGGAGACGCAGACTCCCTGCTGAGCAGGGAGCCCGATGTGGGACTCGATCCCGGGACTCCCAAGATCATGACCTGAGCCGAAGGCAGTCGCTTAACCAACTGAGCCACCCAGGCGCCCCATTCTATAATATGTTAATGCCCACACACGTACTGGAGATAACCTGCTCAGAACTTCTACTTGGTAGGCTGCACAACGAAATAGTTCAGGGACTAGTGTGCTAAACGTCACCACAACTTTCCTTAGTAAACTTAGTAAACTTGCTGTTACACGGTTGAACAACACAGGGACCAGGGACACTGACCCCTATGTTGTTGAAAATCCACTTCCTCCGAAACTCAACTATTCTGCTTACTGTTGGCTGGAGGCCTCAGTAAAATGGTTAGCACATTTTGGCTGGCTCAAGTCAGTGGAGCATGCGACTCTTGATCTCGGGGTTGTAAGTTTGAGCCCCATGTTCAGTGCAGAGACTACTTAAAAATAATAAAATCTCTAAAGTTATGAGCAAATTTACAGTGTCACTGTATTTATTAAAAAGAAAATCCATGTATAAGTAGATCCTCCCAGCTCAAACACGCTGTTCAAGGGCCAACTTTAGAATATTCTTGAAGGGCTAGATCTTAAACCTGCAAGAATGGATGTGCATCATTTATTATAGAAAGTGATTGTGTTTAAATCTTCCTTTTCCCTCCTAGTTGTGTATCAGCTCTGGTCTTTTCTCCCTGACTGATAAAGGTATACGAAGTTGCAAAGCTCCTAAAGAGTAGAACATTTTGAGCTCTTCTGAGGCACTGAGATGCATAATTTTAGATCTCTAATATTACACTTGATATTTATAAAAATCTATAACCAAACAATAAAACCACCGGTCATGGCAATAGAGACCCTTCAGTTCCAGGATGGCCCTGGTTACGGAGACTCCTGTTTGGAGAAGCTGCTGGTGCCCTCAACTCTCATCAATACAGCAGCAACGGTGGGTGAGGGATAAGGAAGGTTAGTCTGAATGCTTCTTTGGCAGTTACATTTTTACCCAAAATTCTACACTGATACAATCAAGTTCATGCTCTGTGGGAACATATTTAAATGAGACTTCCATTTCGCATAGCGGCTACGTGCTCCTCAAGCAGCCTTAGCACCCCACTGAAACGGGACAAAGCGCTGCGCAGTCTTTGGTCGTGACCTGACAGCCCAGCACGCCCCACGGACGGTTGCTGTTCTGCTCGTGTTATTCGTAACTGTCTGGTGGTTTGCAAGCCTGGGGGAGCTGAGATGGGCCAGTTAGGGCCTGAACGCGGCACGGACCAGCGGTCATGTTCTAGTCCACTGCGGTTAGGGTCTGCGCCCAGGCGCGGGGCTGGGGCTGCCGCCTTCCGTGAGCTGCCTCGTTTCTGTGACTTTAGTTCTCATTTGTAGGACGGAGGACTAGCCTGGACTAGCTAGGTTCTTCTGGTGGGAAAGTTCTAGTTCTTCCAGTGGGAAAGGTCACGGCCCTGAGTCAATCAATGCAGACTCCCTCTCAGCCCCTGTCAGGGAGGTGCGTGTGCTTAACAGAGTGCCTGGCACAGAGTCAAAACTTAATGTTTGTTGAAAGAATATATGAGCTTTCTGGGGTGCCTGGGTGGCTCAGTTGGTTGGGCGTCCGACTCGTGGTTTTGGCTCAGGTCATAATCTCGTGGTGGGGATCAAGCCCCGCATTGGTCTCCACACTCAGCGAGGAGTCTGAGACTCTCTACCTCTCCCTCTGCCCCTCCGTCCACTTGAACTCTCTCGCGCTCTTTCTCTCAAATAAACAAATAAATAAATCCTTTTTAAAAAAAGTTTCTTTTTTTCAATTGGTTGCTTTTTCCATTTCATGCTGTGTGGCTTTCCTGAAGTCTTTCAATGCCTCTGGGCCTCGGTGCCCTCTTGGTAACATGAGGGGGTTGCAGAAGGATAAGCTCTTAAAATCCCTGCCCGCTTAAGGGACACGGTCTGTGAGGTGGTATCTGAGCTGGGGTCTTACATCAAGGACCTGTCAGGGAAGCACAGAGATGACATGGCTGTGTGTGTTCGTGATGGGTGTATTTCAGACAAGATGTTATAGTTAGTGGTCAGTATATATTGATGACTTTGGTGTAATTAGGATTATCGACTCACAGCTGGCCTGCTCGTCACCATCAGATTCAGCCCTGATTGAATGGTGTACCAGCACCTAATGAAGACGGGGGTACGGCTCAGATCCCGTTAGGTTGTGAAGCCGGCTCCATGCCCGGTCCTCTGGTAGACCCAGGAAGTTACGGCCTCTGCCCTCGAAGGCCCGCAGTGCCCAGCGGGCGAGGCAGACACGTAAGGCAGTCAGGAGACAAGGCGGCGTTGACTTCTGTCACTGAAGGGACGCTTAGAAGGCTTGCTTTCCTGTGGCTCGCCGAGTCCGTTCCTTTGACTTAGGTTTACCCCGAATGAGGTGTGCAGGAACGGCTTGGGAGGGAGCACACAAACACCGAGGACCCGGCCCAGGAGCCCCCGTGTGGAGTCACAGTTTCCAAGGAACCATTGCTGTCCCAGTCACGATCTGGGACAGCTGCCCTGCTGTTCATCTTCATGCTGTTTTCCTGCCGCAGGAAGCCACCTCACGGGCCGCTCACCTCGGGCCCGTTGATGGGCCCGACCGTGTGGTTGCATGGTTGCTCCTCACGGCTCCCAGGGGCTGCTGTGTGGACAGGTGCTACGGCCAACAGGTCTTCCCCTCCTTCCGTCAGGGGTTAATTTGTTGGCTTTCGGTTCCTGTGCTGGAGCAAGAGTGTGGTCTCTTGGGGCGTCCAAGGAGGCAGGGAGTGAGAGGTGCAGGACAGCGCCGCATGATTCGTGAGTGCCCGTGTGTTAGGCGCTGCGGTGGGCCGCCTGCTCTGCCGGTGCCGGGCCTTGCAGCGCCATGAAGGAGGGAGCGGTTCGCAGAGAGCGGTCCCTGGACCAGCAGCCCCAGCATCGCTCATCGCCTGGGAACTGGTTAGAAATGGAGGTGCCCAGATCCCCCCACCAGCCTACGGACTCAAAGTCTGGGGTGGGGCGCCCGGCGGCGTGTGCTTTCTGAGGTCTTCTGGATGTTTCTGGTGCACACTCACATTTGAGACCCGGTGATCTTGGGTGCTGTAATGACCTTGGATGGCACGATGTGCTCAGGTGAGTGGCGTTCACATCGTCTTGCAGGCGAGCTACCCTGGGAAGCCGGAGCTGCATCTCCAGGTGGGCACGGCGGGCTCCAGCTCTGACATGCGGGCACTGGTGCCCGCACTCCCTGACCGCCCGGGGACCGTGTCCGCGAGGGGCCAGTGTACTGAGAGGATGGGAGGCCCAGTGCCGCTCTGCGGTGTCAGGGAACTCCGGAGAAACGGAGCCGTCAGGCAGGGAGGGGTGGCCCAGGTTAACGTCCTTAAGGACAAAGTATCCAGAGCTATGAGGCCTGGCTGGGTGACCTCCAAGGAAAATTCCCGTCCAGACACAAATGGGCTTGATCTGGCTCTTGGGTGCAGATTTCTCCGTTATCTCTGAGAAATGTAAATAGTCCCTGGGAGCTGAGCCAGATTCTCATCCTGACCCGCTGAAAGCGGCCAGGCTGCTCGAGAGGGCAGAGCTCAGGAGGAAAAGCCTGCGCCCAACGGCACGACTTCTGTGCTCGTCAAGAAGAAACAGGGAAGGAGGGAAAGGGGGGGAAGGGAGCCAGAGAAGGCCCGAAGGGAGAAGGACCTACTGGATTCTCGTGACTTTTTGGTGCTTATTTGCAAGGCAGGTGTACACATGATTTCTAATTGAAAAACAGTTCTAACTGACAATCTACTTGAAACAGGTCAGTTAGTATAATATTATCACTTACTCTGTAACCGAGAGTAATTCTCAGGTTTGGACACTTTTTTGAAAAACCCCTGAACTGAACAGTTCGGGACACAAACCAAAAGATAAGTGCCCCAGGTTGGTGGTGAGACCGGGGGAGGGTGGGACGCAGCCTGGAAAGCACAGCTCTGGGGAGACAGGGTGGGCCCCGACCTGGCACGTGCCCCAACTGTCATCTTGGGCACGTTAATTCTCTGCCCTGTCTCTTGAGCTCTAGCCGGAGCACAGGTGGCTGGCTGGCCGGGCTGGTTTGAGGACTGAGTTCGGGGCTGACTGAGCGGTCCTCACTGGCACCCGGCTGCTGGGCCTTCACCCCAGAGGGCATTCGGCGTGGGCCGAGGGGATGCACCCCCACGACACGGTGCGGGATCAGTTACGACTGCTGTCTCAGGCCTCGGATCGGGAGCTGTTGGAGTAGCCAGAGGTGTCTTTGGGATCCGGCTACGGGGCTCCCACGTGAGCACTCTGGCCATCTGGGGCCTGGTTATTCTTTGTGGTGGGGACCGTCCGGTACACCGTGGGACATTTAGCAGCATCCCTGCCCCTGTCCCCAGGAGCCGGTACTCCGCACCCCCAACCCCACGGTGTGACAGTGTCTCCAGAGTATCGCTACGTGTCCCCAAGCAGGGAGTGGGGGCCAGGTGAAGTTGAGTTGGGGTTGTATTCCTTCGGATTTAGGTGGGTTAAGTCGTTCTGACACCTGCTACGACACGGTTGAACCTTGAGGACATGACGCTCTGTGAAATAAGCCAGTCACGGGAGGACAGATACTGTTGGATTCCAATTACATGAGATACTTAGAATAGTCAAAATCATAGGAAGCCAGATAGTAGTGGCCAGGGGCTGAGGTGGGGGTGTAATGGGAATTCAGCGGTATGTGGACAGAGGTTCAGTTTCACAATATGGAAAGAGTCCTGGAGATGGACAGTAGGGCCACGGGACATTAGGAATGTAGTTAATATACTGAACTCTACACTAAAACGTGATTACGATGGTAAATTGTATGTTATGTGTATTTTATCACAATAAAAAAAACCTTAGGGGCGCCTGGGTGGCCCAGTCGTTAAGTGTCTGCCTTCGGCTCAGGTCATGATCCCGGGGTCCTGGGATGGAGCACCGCATCGGGCTCCCTGCTCAGCAGGGAGCCTGCTTCTCCCTCTCCCACTCCCCCTACTTGTGTTCCCTCTCTTGCTGCGTCTCTGTCAAATAAATAAAATCTTTAAAAAAACAAAACAAAACAAAAAAAACCCCTCAAACAAACCCTTAAATCAGTTGGGTATGTTTGTCTGGGTTCTCTGGTCTGCCCCACTGTATCTTGAAACTGGGCAGACTGATCCCTCCTACTTTATTCTTCATCTCAGAGTTGTTTTAGCTACTTGCTTCCTTTGTCTTTTCATATAAATTTGAGAATAATCCTGTCTCTATCTTCAAAATGTCTTGCTGGGATTTTAACAGGAATTGTGTTAAGCTTGCAGATCACTCTGGGGAGAATCGGTGTCTTCCCCGGGTGCTGAGCCTCCCAGTCCGGGAGCGCGACTTGGTTTCTTAGAGCTGCTGTGATTTTCCTCATTGGCACCTTGTGTTTCAGCACTTAGATCCCGACATGTTTTGTTAGATTTACCCCGAGGCATTTCATTCCTTTGAGTGATCGTGATTTTTGATTTCAGAGTCTATGTGTTCATTGCTAGCTTTTAGAACTACGCTTGGTTTCCGTATGTTCATGTTGTGCTCTGAGCCTCGCCGAGCTCCCTTCTGGGTTTTAGGAGTTTTTGTAGACTCCTTGGTATTCTCCAAGCAGACAGTCATGTCATCTGCAAGGAGGGGCTGTTCTGTGTTTCTTTTCGGACCCATGTGCCTTTTGTTCCCTTCCCACATCTTTCTTGCCGTCTGGGACTCCCAGCACCGTGTTGGATAACTGGTCTGAGTGGGTGTCCTGGCTGTGTCCTGATATTAGGGAGACGTTCAGTCCTTCCTGAGTATGATGTTACTGTCGGGTTTTTGACATAGATGCTCTTTATCAAGCTGAGGAGGACCCCCCATCCCTATTTTTCAGAGGGTTTTTATCATGAAGTGGTGTTGAATTTTGTCAAATGCTTTTTTTGTACCTATTGATATGATCATGTGATTTTCCACTGTTCTAACAAAGGATGGTTGATTACATTGGTTGACTTTTGAATATTGACCCAGCCTTGCATCCCTGAAATACTCCACTTGGTCATAGTGTATATATCTTTTTTATATATTGCTGAATTCTATTTGCTAACATTTTGAGTTTTTTATCTGTATTCATAAGGGTTATCGGTCTATACTTTTCTTTCTTTTTTTTGTACTGTCTCTGGTTTTGGTATCAGGGTAACACCAACTTCGTAAAATGAATTAGTAAATGCTCCTCCCTCTTCTTTTTCCTGGAAGAGGTGTGTAAAATTGGTGTTAATTTTTCTCTAAAAGTTTGGTAGAATTCTCTGTGAAGTCATCTGGCCTGGAGCTTCTTTTCTGGCAGTTTTAAGTTACAAATTCAATCCCCTTAATTGTTAGGGGGCTGCTAAGTGGTAGGTTGTGTGTTTCCAGGAAGTGGTCCATTGGGCCTAAGTTTTCAGATTTATTTATGCTATTAGGTAGTTTTAATAAAGAATCCATTCTTTTTCATGGATTTTGTGATGTATGTGGAATTGGACGGTTTTTTAAAGATTTTATTTATTTGTCAGATAGAGAGAGAGAGAGCACAAGCAGGGGGAGGGGCAGAGGGAGAGGGAGAAGCCGGCTCCCCGCTGAGCAGGAAGCCCGACGTGGGACTCAATCCCAGGACACCAGATAATGACCTGAGCCGAAGGCAGACACTTCACCGACTGAGCCACCTAGGCATCCTGAATTCAAAAGTTTTTACAAAATTTGTGCTCTGTTGTGACTTCTTTCAGTCTAAATAAAAATGCACTTTTGAATGTAGCCTTTTGTGATCATAATTGTATGTCTGTATCTTTCTCTTAAAGAAGGCCCCTCCGCTCATCGGGTAAGAGCCAGGAGCCTGATCCACCCACCACAGAGACGTGTTTTGCCTTTACGTGAAACGTCAGTTGGTGGAGTGAGTTTGGGTCTCGCGTGGGTTAGGTCTCGACAGGCAGTAGACAAGCAGAGAATGCCTTGAAGTGAAACCCTATATGGAGGGCATGGAAGGAAGCATGTCAGCCACATTTATTTCTGTCTGATGTGACACCCAGTGATGGCTTTTCATGCTTTCCTCAGCGCCCACCATACTCATGCTTGCTTTTTCAGAAGGAGAAGAGAAATAGAACAGAAGAGACACAGAAGAGTCAGGCTGGGGTGCTTGGGGTGAAGAGCTGCAAGGCCGTCTCCGGCGGGTCTGCGGCCTGACCCCGGGGCTGCTTCCAGCGTTCCCACACTCTTACCACTGCCCTCCCCCAGGACAGCTGATGTATTTCAAACAGGAAACTCTGCAGATAAGGCTGCAGACACCAGCCTGATTTGCTGGGCAGCCTGACAGGCCAGGCCGTGCTCGCCTGGCCTGTGGGGCTCGCGGCCTCTGTAAATAGCAGCCATGAGGCTCCCGGGCGCAGTGTCCTCGCGGGTCCCCGACGGTCAGGACGCCCCCTTCGCCTGACGTGTGCTGCAGGTAGGGATGCTCTGCCCGGTGACCTGGCAGCCTTGGGGAGCAGGGCGGGAGTCCGCCAGTCGATGGGAATACACTGAGCTAGGAAGGCGAGGTTCCAGACGCGGCCAGAGGGAGGACTCAGGTGGAAGGGAGGGTGGGAGTCTGTTCTTTGGTCCCCACGAAGGATGGGGTCTGTCAAATGGATCTAGCTCTAGAATTCCAAGGTCTGATTAATTCAGGGGCTCATGGTGGAAACTTCGTGGGGCTGGCTCATGAGGAGGACTCATGAGGAGCAGCCTTCTCAGCTCTGCACAGGGTCCAAGAGGTTCAGCCATGTTTTCCCGAGTCCCCAGTGCCCATGTGAAAGGTGGCCCTAGCACCAACCGCCTGTCCCCGGGGAATGTCCGCCACCTACGGGTGGGGCGCCGTGGGCCGCATCAATAATCTGTACTCATGGCCTGTGGCTCTGTTCTGGCTCAGTAATGCGGCAAAGACAGGACTGGAGTGGGGGCCTCTGGTCTCCCAAACTGGGTAAGACTTGGTGTGACGGGGGCCCTTCCTCCCCCGCTGGCTGTCACAACCGGCCTTCCAGGCTGAAGTCAGGTAGCGCTTAGGAATTTAAAAGACGAAGTGGGAGAGCCGCCGCACGTGCATGACAGGACTTCTGATCTGATGGGAAACGCTCTCCTGGCCGGGCAGAGCCGAGCCCGGGCTTTCGCCGCGAGCTTTCACCATGTCTCCAGCTCATCTACGAGTTTGAGAAATCTGGAGGCCGTGAGAGGACAGACAGACGGTTTGCGGAAAGCTAGGGGAAGGGCCTCTTCCTCCTTAGTGTGTGCCCTTCGGGTGGGCCCTCGGGGAGACCCCGTGTCACTGTGGGGAGCAAGCAGCTGTGTGGGGAGGGAGTGTCCGTCCGCAGAGCTCCCTGGCGCTTCCAGATGTGGTTCTCCAGCTATAAATGCTACAGATGTTTAATGAAAATGTAGCATTGTGAGTTTGGCAAATCATACCACTTTTTTTTTTTTTT